AATGATTCAACTTCAAACTCTTCTCATTCATTTGCCATGAAAACATCATTTTAAGTAGAATATTCATAAATATATATAAATATATGACTTCAAGGCTGGTGGGCAGACTGTTATACATAGCCTATTAAAATGGTGATAACTATTAACACAATTTCTCCGTGTTTATTTTAAAATCATAATTAACGGGCTTACTAAAATAAGCCTAAGCAAATGGGGGCTCTGTGCATACTGCACATGCCTTGATGCTTTAAATTTGTTTGTACAGCTGTGAGATTCTCAAATTAACTATCTGTCAGGAAAAGTAAAATACTGCCAGGACAGCTTGGAGATGAAATCCAAGCCTATGGGAGAAAATTACAAAATGGCATCCTGCTACATGAATCACTTTTATGGAATAACTCCTGCTATAATAAGTCTGTAGTTTCTAGACAGCAGATCATTAGCAGCAGCCCAGGTAGTTCCAGGAACTTGCTACAAATGTTCAGCATTTATTAAAATGGATATCAGTCATCTCCTTGTCATTTCATACATGTACATGAATTGGCTTACTTATGAGAGTAAAAACTCCATATAAATTTTTAAAAATATTTCTCTCAACACATATGGAATAGTCACATTATTCTAACACTGCACTCCCTAATTAAAATTTCTATTTACATTTAAAACTCAAAGTTTTGTCTTCCTGAAGCAAGGGATCAAAACCAACATCAACATTTCCCAACCCTCAGGTTGTGAAGCATGCCTGAATCTAGCTGCTGAACAAAGAAGACGACTGTCGTCTGGAATGTGCAAAAGAACCTTGCACCCAACATCAACCACTGTTGAATTTTTCATCTTTAGAAACTGAAATGCTTTCAATAATATACTATTGTATGATTAACTAACACCACAAGTTAGAGATTCAGTCTCATGACAGATGCATTCAGGTTATCTGTTCTGATGCCCAACAGAATCTATGATGGCATTAAGCTTAGGTGGGCAATGAGAAGATAAGGTGTAAATGGCATCAGAGGCTGCCAAACTCTAGTGCATATTATTCCTTTGGGTAACAGATATGAAGTACACACTGATTTGGGTACTATTTTTAGCTGTAAAGATTCAGTCCTAAAGAGTGAAAATTATGTTTCTGTGTATAGAACTACAAGTACAATTTATTTTAATTTAGTTGCAGTTCGAACCTTGTGAAAAGATAGATACCATGCTGCACAGCCAGCAAGTTATTCATCCCCATGAAGTAATAAGCCACTGAAGCACTCTACCAGGTGAGCCAAGGAACTAGCTAGCCTAGACTGACCTTAAGTGGGTATCCAGGGAAGACTAAGACAACAGCACACATTACACTTTTCAACAAATACTCAGGCTCTAATCACTTTATGCAAGGGGACAGTAGATGTGGTTACTGTGCATTCATTACCTTGTTCAGTGTTTTCCTGAATTCAGGTTAACTTTAAGACTACGTAGCATCCACCAGTCACTTCATAAAGAAGAACCCCCTGTTTTTTGTTTGGCTCCTACTAGCTTAACTAGATGTCACAGTTCAGCATAGAGAACATCCGCCACACCACCATGATTTTGAAGGTTCCACCATACGCACTGCTGCTCCTTTCTGCACTAAGACTCCTAACCTATTTAGTCCTTCTACATAAAAGGCTACTCTACTGATCTTTGTTGCCTTCCTCTTTATTTTTTGCATTGTACATCCCTTAATCTGCTTTCCAGTTTCTTAAAGCTGTATTCCCAAAGTCACATTACTAGCAGCTTCTTTACTCTTTTGATAATATCTCCAACATCCAAAAGCATCTCCATACCACACAGGAAGAGTTTATATCAATACCAGCACGTTCCTTCTAGATTTAGTAGACTTGATATTTTGGGAGACATAGCCATTTTCATTTATGCTTTCTTAATTTATTTCTCAGGCAAAAAGGCTGGCCTAGGGGATTTCCCTAAAGACAAATCATTTGGTTCTCTCTCATGAGAGAGGAAGTATTCAAGTTTCATTAAGAAACAAACACAAGACAGACAATTAATAAAAACTTATTGCCTAAGAAGTTTAATCAGAGGCAATAGGATTTAACCTCTGGATTCTGTAAAGTACTGCAATATAGACTTCAGAAATAATTGCAAACAACTAGTGAGTCAGTGTATGCACTATTAGTTTCCAATTGACTTCTTACATGTGTTGCCATTGCTGCTGAACTTACCAGACAGCTTCAAAGAGCTGAAAAAGCAAATTCATGAACAGCAGTATCTATCAAGCAGAATGGAATATATCATCTTCCTCTAAGACAAAACTAAACCCAAAGTATTTTATGGAGCTTTGCCATCTAGGAAGTAGCACATATATAAGGAAAGTAAATAAAATCTGCAAGCTAGTGGAGGGATTTAATTGGAAGACTTTTTTCCCTCACAGTATCTTTATCCTCAGCCTTATCTTCATCCTGTCTCCCTCAATCAGTTGCACCCTGGTGCTGCCTTCAAACTGATTCTTCTGGCAGCCACTCATTTACTATTGGTCTGCTTCGATCTAGAAAATCTCAAATAAATAAAATATATGGATAAAAATCTTTGTATGTATTTTGGCAGAGATTGGTACCTGTAGAACTCCCACCTACCAGTGAAGTCTTCTGCTGCAAAGCACCTCGTTGAAAGACTAATATTTCTGTTTTCCTGTTCAGAGTAAAGTCAAATGGCCCCAAAGTTCCACATATATTATTAACAGAGTGCATAATAATAATAATAATAATAATAATAATTCAGAGGAGGATTTTGGAATTCTTACCATGCTAAATTTCATACAGTATAATCTCCTCATATATTTCCTTGGCACCACAAGTCAGATTTTCCAATTTGCAGACGATTCATATTGCTTGAGATTGCTACACAGGGAGTTACAGTCTGAAAGGATAAATAGTTCCCTAATAGCCTACAATGACACAAACGCTATTACTCTGCCATTTCTTTGAATTTTTAATAAGTATGAAATAATATATTTTGGTAAAACTGCAGTGGAGTAGAATGTTTTTCCATCTAATTGCATTGCCTGTTATAACAGCTTGACAAACAAAAAAAAGGCCAAAAAATTTTAGTTATTCCAATAAGATATAGGATTACAAAAGTTTAGTTGGCTCCTAATGCAACTTCAGTTCAAAAAAAAAGTGGATCAGCTATCTGAAGTAAGAAAGGCTATATTGCCAGATGAGGAAGTAAGAACAGAGCTCTAGTTCTTTCCAGATGCAAAACAAAGAAGTATCAAACACTGACATGTTCCCAGGTTATCTCGCCAGGTATCTCAAAATGATCCATTGTCAAAAAAAAGTCTGATGATGCAAGACAAAATAACAAGACAAACAAACAAAGTTTGTAACAACAAAGTGCGTTATTTGAACTTCTGAATATTCTCTAAAGTTCTGTGCCTGTTGATCAATTTACATCTATTATTTTCCTGAAATTTTATACTCAGTGGACATGGCTTTTCAAGATGTCTACCTTAGAGAAATGAAAAAAAGCATTGACCTTTACAATTTAATGGCCTTTTTAGCATGCCAGCTGGGTAAGATGCGAAACAGAAAAATATTTTACAACTCTGAAACTAAATTCATCTTATGGGTAATCACTGAAGCTTTTAGTAGCTTTTATTAATCACAGTACCTTTTTACAAAAAAGTACAAAGAATCACTAACAAGTGATACCCCTTTTCCATTAGTTCCTAAAGTCAAACAAAAGTAAGGCTTTTTTTTTTTTTTTTTTTTCCCCAGCTTGGAAGTTACCAAGACACTAAAAGGACACCTCTTAGGTAAAGACAGTCTGGAGCACATCATAGGGAGGAATTCAGAAGTTATCCAGTACTTCCACTAGCTAAATTTGGATTACCAGTTCAAATACAGAATATGAGTTTCATGTGTCTTTTCCTCCATTATGGAAGTAGTGTTGTCTCTCTCTTTGATTTACTTCTTTTTTACTTGTCTTTTTTCCTCCCAGCTATCCATCCCCTACTTTCTCTTCCTAGCAGGAAATAAAGCAAGCAGAATACAGAAAGACAGAAGAAGAAAATCCAGTTCTCCCCTCTACAAGCACAAAAACCTGCACAAAGTTAAAAATGAAGCCTGCCTTAGAACAAACAATTCCTTCTGCAACAACAATTATGAGAAAAACAACTTAAAGAAGCTGCTCTTGACAACATTGTCAGTTCTCAGAACTGCTGATAAAATTTATTCTGTGCCCTGATTTCTCCTATAGACACATTTTGAGAACATCAAGAACAGACAGTGCATTTTTTTGCTTCCTGCTCTTAGGCTTTTTTTTTTTTCCTCTCCTGTATTTGCCTTTTTTTTTTCTTAACCTTCCTTGAAAAGGAAGATGAATCTGAATTCAACCAGATCAACAGAGAAATAAAAACAGATTTAGAGCAAATGAGTTGATGTAAATATCAATAATTTCACCTAACTTCTCCCAGAGAGATGCTCACTGCACTCTTTAGCTTCTCCCAGAAAGACTGGCCTATGGCTGAGATCAAGTGAGAGCTTAACTCAGTCTTTGCAAAGCTCTTCAGTATCTCCTGAATGTTTATGTTTTCCACAATGTCTCTGCAGCTCTGAATCCCTTCCAGTACACCACAGGACCTTTAAACTCTAGACATGAAAACTAACTGCAGAATTGTGTTACTGGCCTTCTGGGAGCTGTTTAAGGAGGAAATGACACCTCCCTCTGCTCCTTAATATTCCCCATTGCAAATACATACAAGAATTGCATTTTGTCTGTTATCAAATAAGATCTAACAGTGTGATATGGAAGCTATCTTCCACATGTTACAAGTTGTTTCTCAATATCTTCCTTGTATTATTACTTCATAATTATTGAAGAAGCATTCATTTCTCCCAGTTTTACATTATCTTCTTCTCTGCGTGGAAGAATTACCTCCCTGTCCATTAAAAGAGGCACCATAAATGAAAACTTTTAATTGAAAAATATTACATGCTAGAATAGTTAACAACACTTACTTTGCCAGGCTTGTTTGCCTCAAAGCTGTTTTCTTTTAATTTCTCCTGCAGGGTCTCAGCTAACCGACAAAGCAAGGCACCATTATCCAATTTCTCCATAAAGGTTTCTGCTGTTATTTCTCTACCTGAACAGCAAGCAGAAAGTTAGCATGGCAAACAGTGTGCAATGGTATAGATGGCACTTGTTTTAAGAAAAAACAAAACAACTAAACTAACAAACAAACGGGCACATTCTAAATGCATTGAAATCAAAAGAAATTTAGACATCAATTTAAAACACACTTTAATTGAACAACTAGCATTTCTTTGAATAATCTCACTTAGTGCATCTCCAGTACGTATAAGGCAAATTTTAAAATAACATGCTTTCTTTAGGTAGGCTTGTGTTACTTGAAAAATAATTCTAGCCTGTAAGAACTCATTTTATTTATGAAATTCCAGTGCTTTTAGCAAACACAGAGTGCAGTAGGCAGATGGTTTACACTGACATATGTGGGTAGTGATAGCATAAAATATTGCTAACACACTGAATGCAGTTTATTTTGTAGAAGTAGCAAACCATACAATGAAGGAAAGGGAAGTATTCAATGATGAGACAAAGTCTTGATTCTGCAGGAAGGTGACTGCAGAACAAAAAGTTTCATGCTGTATTTCACTGCCCAGCTTGAGCAGAGCAGGTAGCCTTTGGTATCACTGTAATCCCAATGGTCCCATGGTATTCAAACTAGGTGAGACAGACCAGATGAGAAGGCAATCTTTTGCCACCTCCAGCTGAACTCCCAGAATCACGCCATGATGATAAAAATTTATTTGCGTAGGCTTTTGTCTCAAAATTGTTAGATACTTCAGCATTCTTTAGGCAAAATAAATTGCCAGTCATTTCAGTTTGGACAGTTGCACGCCAAAGATTAAGACCTGTACAGCAAATCATTTTCAGATACAACTTTTCCTTTCTTTCCCCCTCCCTTTAATTCTCTCTGCCACACAACCCACTTTACGGTTCCCATATACCTAAATGACTTCTCCAGGCAGCAGAGCAGTAGCAGCTCTACAGACATTCAATACAAAGGTAGTTAATATGTAATTGACATTACTTTAGCTCCAAATTCAACTGCAGTCAGATCTGAAACTGATAACCCACAGAATAATAATAATAATAAAAACTCAGCATCTCAGCACCTCAAAAACCTTCAGTATCATTCTGGCATATTTTTTCCCCAATTTGCATTTATAGCAAAAGATTAGAAGCCATTAGAAACCTAAAACTAAAAAGCTACTGACTCATAAGAATAGCTTTATTTTATTAATAATAATATTTTTTTAATAGACTCAATTTCTATTAAACTATGTTTCAAACATTTTTAACTATGGAAGGTTTTATTTTGTTTTAGAATGCACTTTTATTTTTGCACAAGGAAAACAAAACTCATGTTGTACACATTTATTCTGTCCTGTGATTTGCAGATTTATAGGTTTATTACTCTACCAGTCAAGATTTAAAAAAAAAAAAAAAGAAGAAGAAGAAGAAAGAAAAACAACCTGAAAGCTATTTAAAACTGTCTTCTCATTTAATAGACATGGAAAAAAAAAATCTATCTTCTGCTGAGATTGAACAATACATTTACACTATTTTTAATGCTGAATAGCATTAGCAGTTTAGTCACTGCATATTGTAAGCTGGAGCATTGTAGTTTTGTTCCCTTTTACAAAAGCTGGAAGAATTAGTTTTGCACTGAACATCTGTATCCAATGAAAAATATATTAGGTGTCAGCTTTCAATTCACTGTATTTTATGTCTCCAAGAGGTGGCATTTCTTTGCTAAAACAGACACTGACATATTTAACAGTTGAAATGTATTGATTCAAATGAGAGCAATGTTCATAGCCTGAGGAAAAAAAAAAAAAACTCTGTATATTTGTAAGGAAAAAACATTAAACTCCATTAAAAACGGATAACTCCCCCTAAAATTACAAGAAAGCAGTCACAATGTTTTTATAGAATGGTAATAACATTAAATACAATTTAAAAAAAAAAAACAAAAAACCAACACTAGAATATGAAAGAGAAAAAACAACAGGAGTGAAGTCCCTCTCAAAACTTGCAAATATTACTTACTCCTTATGCTGCAGAAGCCAGATGCCTCTTAAAAAAGACAAACCCATTTACTTTAATGCCTAGTATTTGGGAAGCATGGGCAGCTAACTATAAAGCCACTCAGACCTGGGAGTCCTGATCTAAGCAGCTTGGGAATTCTGTGGGAGGGAAACTCAAGAGCCCATACCGAGGATGTGCATCCAAGTTGTTGAGGACGTGGGCCTCCAGACAACCAGAACCTTTAGCAAAATGGATAGGTGCTCAAATCTTAAAACAAAAGTACCCAAGTCTAGTTCCTCTATTATATCAGTTTGTTCTTTTGCACTCACTTCAGTAATGCAAGAACAGCCTCAAAACTAGCTGATGAACTACTTTATAGAAGTGTAGAATCGTTCGAGTTGGAAGCAAGCTGTAAAGGTCATCTAGACCACCTCTCCAACTCTCCTTAGATGAACAAGGAGACCCACAACTCAATCAGGTGCTCAGAACCTGGTCCAGCCTGACCTTGCGTGTCTCCAGGGATGGGGTTTCCAACACCTTTCTGGGCAACTTGTTCCAGTGCTTCACTACTCTTATTGTAAGACTTTTTTTTTTTTAACTGTCAAATCTAAATTTCCCCTCTTTTAGTTTGAAACCCAAAGATTAGATGTTTCAATGGTAACACCAAACTAATAGTTTATAAGCAGAAATCTTTTACTCAGATGAATCTCTAGAATTCATCAGTGGAAGGGTGAGCTTCTAGAGTACTGAGCCAGCAATGGAAGTATTCCTTTTGACTGTGGCATTTCTTCCCAACTTCTGTGGCATTTAAACCCACGGTAACAAAACATATATATAAAGAGGAGAGATAAAAGCCAATGATTTTATGTAAATTTTAGAAAGTGGATCTTTTTGGACAGAAAGGCTGCTGTATATCATTGAACAGCAGAGATCAAGAGGAGTAATGCTGATAGAACTGACATTGTTTACTTTAAATGAAATGTATAAACAGCCTCAAACACATATTGACACTAAAGAAAATTATCAAACCTCTCAGCTGAAAAAGAAGCTGCTCTAGAAACACTAGAGGTATAGTTATCATAAATGTCTTGATACTCATTGGTATTTATCATTTCCCTCTATTATCCACTGGCTTTAGATGAACACATTGCTGTTAAAAATGAAAGTACGGTTACAAAATCTTCTTAGCAAGATGCTTGAGCTGAAGCAGGTTTTGCTTTAAAGCAGAATCTGAGAAACACAGTTTTCCTGCCTCAGACTTCTTACCTTTCATCCTTCAAATTTTACACCTCTTAACATCATATTCCAAACCTAGCCTGTAATTGAATGTCTCCTACCATCCTCATCAATCCTCTCCTTTTCTCCAAGTCTTGTCCAATTCTGCATCTGAACAAGCAATTTGCACGTCCCTCATGCAACATGCAATTTTTACTTGTCCTCATCCTCAACATTTTGCAGCCTCCAGCCCCTTACCAATGAGTTTCTGATGCCCTGAATTTCTGCTAGGAAGAGATCACAACAATTATATCACGGAGCCCAGTTACCTTGCCACAGCCAATGAACATCTTACAGATCTACTCTATGTGGTCCCAGACGCTAAACAAAACTGGATGGAATAAGCTTTGGTATTGCAATTATCTGAATCTGGTAAGTGGGCTCTAGGAATAAGAAAAAAGATAGAATGTATAAGAAGGCACAGAAGAGGGCAAATCCCATTTGCTGTCAAATCACCATTTTGCCTCTGCTAGAAGATTACTATGACCAAACAGTTCTGATCCCTATGTGAAATTTGCTCAAGATGGAACAGAAGGTTTCAGCACCATCAAGAGGATTCTACTGAACTACATACATACATTATCTATCCAATTCAGAAGGCGTTGGCAGCAAGTGTTGCTGTTTCTTTGGTTCTATGCATTATAAGAAGATGATTTTAGGAGATGATCATGGTTTGCAAGACAATTGATCAAAACATCTTCTTAACTATGTCACAGTAGGGTTCTCTCAGCCAATCTAGTTCAGCAGAGAGAAGTGAGGCTGAGAGTTGCAATATTCACTGTTCCACTCCTCTCGCCCGCTGCAATACTGAGGTGGCTCACTATGAAAATGATGCTCTACAGCATCATATGAGTCACTTCCATCTGCAACACTCATTTCATCTGCAGCATTCCTTAATGCAAAGTAAGTTGTTTTCAACACGGAAAGGAGGAGAAAAAAAAAAAAGAAAAAAAAAAAGGGAAAGAACAAAAGAAGAAAAAAAAAGCATGGAATCATGAAATTGCTCAGGTTGAAAAAAACCTGAAAGATCATCAAGTCCAACTGCAACCTAACCATGCTACCCTAAATCTAACAATCCTCTGCTAAGTCATGTCCCTGAGCACCACATCCAAACAGTTGCATGTTGCATATCCTTTTTGGATATCATGAAATAAGCAGGCATTTACAACAAGGTAATAGCATGCTATAAATTCATACAAATTTTATCCCACAGCAATATGCTCATGTGCCCTCCTCTCACGAAAGTTAACCCCAATTATAAAGTAATTAAACCAAATGTGAATTCTGAGTGAATATACAAAATATGTTAGTAGATTAATTCAGTTACACTTAATTCATTTTGACTGAATTTTAACTTAATTCATTTGAATAACAATGTCTACATAGGAATTCTACATAGGAATTCAAAGCACTTTAACAAATCACTATAACTTCAGTTCTCCACAACAAGCTGAGAAAATAACAACTTGCATGTGAGAAGGTGTTGGGGAATGCATTATGCAAATGAGCTGTGCATGTTGCTTAATTAAAAGAAGGCTGTGTCGACGCAGTGAAGAGTTTGGTGTCCATATGAGAAATCAGATTTTTAATTACAGTTGGCGTTTCAGAACCTCCTGCTGGTTGCTACTTTCTTCCTAAAAAAGTGACCTCATTCCTACCCTCATCACTGGAAGAACTCTGTTAGGAACTGCAAACAAGCTTCTGTTTGTTTTAGTGGGCCTCACTACAACTTCATTGTTTAAAAAATTTAAACAATATATTAAATCCTTAACAGAATGGGCTGCCTCTGATTCAAAAAGCCTCCTTTTGGATTGCCATCTTGTGGCAATTATAGCAAAAAGGCAGGATTTCTGGATTTTCATCTGGCTTCACTTGGACAACATTTTGAATTTGTTGATTTAAATGGAAATACCACACAGCAATATAATTTAAGGTGCCAGTTTTAAAACTTCAAGTTCAGAACTATTCCAATAATAATATTGCCTATATGAAATTATTGTGGTATAAGTGCATTCTACTTACACCCTGTTTTTCTATGTTTATCATAGCTTAAGAATATTTTCCTTTGTCTTAAAAAAAACCAAACAAATAAGAAACTACAATACTGTGGAACATGCAAAGAAAAGGCACTCTATCATTGTATGATATCACTGATTATGTTCAACTGCAATAACAGGCAAGATAAAACATTGCCTACTTTCTGACCAAAGCAGATTTCCAGAAGAAAAAAATCCCAGTTTTAAAAATGCTCTTCTAAGTTTGCCTCCAGAAGTATCATGTGAATGTCAACTTGTCTAAAAGGTGTTTCTCCTCTTTGATTAAAAAGAGCAACTGCTGATGTGTTTCTCTTCAGATGAGGATTTTACAAAGTTTACGTCTAACAAGAAATACGTGATTTATGTGAATTGCCATCAGCAATTTGTTTCTTCTTCATGCATCAGGAGATACAACCACAACCAGAAAATCTCCAGGTCCCAGCTGCAACTCCTAGGTCAGACCCTTCTACACACAAGCTTCTGCAAGTCTTCACATGCATTGCACTGAATGGTGATTATCTATAACTAGGCTGCTTGATCAGTGAAAAAAACTATTTAATGGGCTCATTCATTCAGGGTATTCGATGCACTCAGTGCCTGTGGAAAGTCTCCCAGTAGAAAATAAGATGTATCTGTAGCAACATCCAGCTTCATTATATTAGCAGATAAAACCCATGTGAAAGTTAATTTAAAAGAAAATTTGAGGAAAAATAAATTTGAGGAGAGTGCAAGTAACATAACTGAACTTACAGAATCACTGTGTAGGCTAACTATTCATGAGTATTTCTGACTTGTTAAAATTTGTTCCAGGTGGAATTAGCTAGCTAATTCTAACCATCTTTATTTTTGAAGCACAACAAAGTCTGAAGATTTTCACTCTCAACTGACAGTGAGTGGAATTTTCATGCTGTCCAGTGACTGTATTTCTCATATCTTACCCAGTAAGTTTGTGAGCCACAGGGCCAAATCCTCTTTCATCGGCAACAAGTTGGCCTCATGTCTGCTGGCAAGCCACTGACTGTATTGGTGCATATCAGAGAGGCCAGGCCCACGTGCTTTTGGGCTCAGAGCAGTGCACATTGCTTATCCACTGGTTGTACCTGTTTTAGTACTTTTTGAAAAAGAAAAAAGAAACAAACACGTAAATCAATACAGCAAATACAATTTACAGATCCTCTTTTTAACATGGTGGTAGACAACAGCTTTAACTATGATTCTGAGAAATCAGACAAAGAAATGTGGATCTAATACGTGAACACAGCATCTATGACTGAGGTACTATTAATGGCTCACTTCAAATGATTAAATCACATAAATAAATGTCTACTTCATTCCTACTCACCCAGCTACATGTTATCAACCCATAACCAAATATTCTACAAAGAATGATTAAAATCCAAAACAAAACAAACATTTCACAGAACACTAGCAACTCACTACAGTGCCTGATCCAAGATCCATTCAAAATAAATTGAAAGTTTCAGCCATTTTTGGATCAGGCCCAAGAAAAACATGTGAGCAACTAAGTTACACTACTGCACAGACTTGCTAACGAATAGCAAATGTAGTTACCAAGTAGAATCCCTGTAATCTACAGCTTTAGAATAATTAAAGAAGCAAGATGTATATGATGAATAATATTACTCCTTCAGAAAGCAGCACGACAGCCTGGGCTGGTCACCCATCACACTTCCCACTTCCATCTTTTATCCTCTGCTTCAGTGGCAATTTATGGAAACACAGGCTTCAGGTAAGGCAATACGTCATGTGTTAAATATTAGTTAAGTGCTCAACTCCTGCAGCAGCCAGAGACGTTAGGCCCACTGGACCTATATTCCCATTCCTGAAGGACTAATTCTCCCCTCTGTGGCACAAGTGTGCTAAGGAAAGAGGTTATGTGTTTCTGAAAAGAAAATCAGACCTGAACTCTATCACTTATGGCAGTAAGCTGGGTTACTTTATTGCTTGGTAGAGTGTAGCAACTGAGAGCTCTGTCACCCCAACCAGCAGTCACAAGGCCTTGCCTTGTGCATGTGGAACTAAAGAAATTATTAATGAGGTAGGGGTAAAGCTTTAAGGAACTGTACTTCATCTATTTTTCCAACTGTTCCATTCTATCTGTGGTTACATGTGGCAGCTGACTTCAGCTTACCAATCATTGCAAACACTGTTTCTTTTGCGAGGAGAGGAGAGGAGAGGAGAGGAGAGGAGAGGAGAGGAGAGGAGAGGAGAGGAGAGGAGAGGAGAGACTTGTTATACTATACCACTGAAACCTGGAACAAAAAGGGTAAATAAGTAAATAAGTAAATCCTTTGCCAAAAGGAAAATGCTTACTGAATATAAAACACAATCGTCATAAAACTGCGCTGCAAGCTACATTTCCAAATACATGAAAAACTAGTTGGGATATTTAATATTTACATCAAAATTGTGCAGCATTTACTAAACCATAGCATGCTAAATAATCTCCTTTTTCCTCAAAAATATCTACTTATATCATGTTGAGAGGACCACACTCCTTACCTCAGTTCTGAAATGGTAGTTGCTTTTGAAGTAGGTAGACACAGCTTTCACTATAAATATATCTCTCACTGAAATCAGACAGATTTTTCAGTCAATGTGGGATCAATAAAATCAGTAAATATCCTCAAGTATCACAGGTCCTTTGGAAGCAAAGGAATTTAAAATAGACCAAAATATGTAAGTGAGGTACAGCTCTGTTCTTGAAACTGACTTTCAAAAAACTTCCACTTGGATCAATGTTTTTCTGGTTGGTTACATCCAAGCTGTACCTATTCGTTTTGTTCAAGGGAAGAGAAAAAAGAATTATGCTGTTGACTCCAAAAAGCCCTCTAGTGTGTCACTCGCAAAATGGACTCCTTCTAACTACATGATCCTAACAACTTAAAGGTTACCACAACAGCATTTTAAAGTTGTTCTTAGTCTTCAGAACAATTCATTTAACTCACTGCTTCACTTTGAACAGTCAGAACCACAATCAAGATGGATAACTAATTCCATCTCATCATCAAAGATTACAAGGGAAAAAAAAAAAACAGGCAAATTCCATGCTTGGTTTACAGGAAAAAAAAAAATCCTTATAGTAACTTTCTTGTGTGGTTTCTGGAGTCTATCCGCTCTACTGAGAGGCAAAGTTAAATCTTTTGAATCACCTTGAAAACTCCATCGCATTCATTTATCAATATTCACTTCATATGCAACACACAAATAAAGCAAAGAGGGAAAAACTTCCTGAAACATTGAGCCACATAGATACCAACAAACTGAAAAATTGATGCAAGAGAAAAATCCTGCCATTTGTTTCTTTTGATAAACACCCTAAAAAAAAAAAAAAAAAAAAAAAACCTGGAAAGAAAAAAAAAAAAAAACCACCTGAAAAAAGCAAAATTGTTTTAAGAAGAAATATTTAAGACAATGCACCTCTTCACTGAAAGTATTTTCAAGTTTCTTACAGGCTTTGAGGAGAAGGTTGGAGTAGATGGTCCCTAGAGATTCCTTCCAACCTGAATTATTGTGTTATTTTACTTTTGGGGATGCACACAAACATTTTCATCATGGGACCCTGAAGGGATCTCTGCTTTCATAGAAGGTTATCACAAGGTGCACTCCCCGAGTTGGGTTGTGTCAACAGGTATTCCAGGGAGACAACATTCTGTTCAGGAAAGGTGCACCAACCCCTCCATCTCTAACAGCCTATATGTGGAATTTTGAGTTAATTTATAACAATCAACATGATAACATGCTGACAGACAGACAGATACTATATAGGTTGTTGCCACCAGGAAGGCTAGAGTAATTCTATGGTCTGAAAATTGCCTTTTTTTTTTGCTGTTGTTTGTTTCAAAGCTAGAGAAAAGAGAGGGAAGGCTTCTGGACCAGCTACAGGAAAACAACTTAGGTTTCCCTGCCAGTCTGTGAAAAGAGCACCACAGTATGTCTACACTTCAAACCAATCTCTCTGTGATCAGAACAGAGAATTTAGGCAACTGAGATATTACTTCAGCTCTAAAATGAAGGGCTATCCTTAAATATGCATCATAATTGTAGCATCATAGAATCACTCAGGCTAGAAAAGATCAACAAGTCCAACCGCAACCTAACCATCCTACCCTAACTCTAACAACCCTCCACTAAATCATGTCCCTGAGCACCACATCCAAATGGTTTTTGAACACATCCAGGGATGGTACCATCCTAGGGAGCCTACTCCAGTGCTTAACAACCCTTTCTGTAAACAAGTTTTTCCTAATATCCAACCTAAACTTACCCTGGTGCAACTTGAGGTCACTTCCCCTCATCCTGTCACCAGTGAGAAGAGACCAACCCCGCTCTCGCTGTAAGCACCTTTCAGGTATTGGAAGAGAGCAATAAGGTCTGCCCTCAGCCTCCTTTTCCCCAGACTGAATGGCCCCAGTTCCTTCAGTCTCTCCTCATAGGCCATATTCTCCAAGCCCTTCCCCAGCCTTGTTGCCCTTCTTTGCACCTGCTCCAGCACCTCCATGTCCCTTTTGTACTGAGGTGCCCAAATCTGAACACAGCACTGGAGGTGAGGCCTCACCAATGCCAAGTACAGGGGCAGGATGACTTCCCTGGTCCTGCTCACCACCCCATTCCTGATACAAGCCAGAATGCCATTGGCCTTCTTGGCCACCTGAGCACACTGCTGGCTCATATTCAGCCGACTGTCCATCAGTACACCAATGTCCCTTTCCATCAGGCAGCTTTCTAGCCACTCTTCCCTATGCCTGTAGGTTGCCTGGGGTTGTTGTGACCAGAATGCAGGACTCGGCACTTGGCCCTATTGAAACTCATACAGTTAACCTTGGCCCATCAATCCAGTCTATCCAGGTCCCTCTGTAGTGCCCTTCTCCCCTCAGGCAGATCAACACTGCCTCCCACCTTGGTGTCATCTGCAAACTTACTGAGGGTGCACTCAATCCCCTCATCAAGATCATTAATAAAGATGTTAAATAGAAGCAGCCCCAGTACTGAGCCCTGGGGGACACCGCTCATGACCGGCCACCAACTGGATTTAACAACAATGACCACAACTCTTTGGGCCCAGCCATCCAGCCAGTGTTTCACCCAGCGGATCATATGCCCATCCAAACCATGGGCAGCCAGCTTCTCCATGAGGATGTTGTGGGGGACAGTATCAAAGGCCTTACTGAAATCCAGGTAGACCACATTGACAGTCTTACCTTCATCCACTAAACAGGTCACCTTGTCATAGAATGAAATCAGGTTTGCCAAACAGGATCTTCCATTCATAAACCCATGCTGTCTGGGCCTGATCCCTGGTTGACCTTTAATTGATTCATGATGGCTCCTGAAATTATCTGTTCCATAACCTTCCCTGGCACTGAGGTGAGATGATAGGTCTGTAGCTACCAAGATCATCTTTCCAGCCCTTTTTAAGATGGGCGTCCCATTTGCCAGTCTCAAATAGTGACTACCTTCTGTTTCACAAAAACGTGGTCAGCTGTATGAAGTTCAAGAAATCTGAGTCTCACTGCTGAAAGAAAAGTGGGAGAAACAGAGCTCTGACTGAAGCATGCAGTGGTGCTGGAGTTCAGCAGTTCCTTGGCTAGTAAGAGCTGAGATCCTGGCCAAGACACTGATTCTCAGAGTAGGAAAGGAAGGAAAGAAGAAAGACAAATTGAGGTGACAAAAATAGCTGTAAACTGAGAATGACAGTCTGTACTGGGATTGGAATAGCAGTCTGCTTGAAACAGTAGTCCCGAATTAACAATATTTTATTACTGAAATTACTGAAAATTACTGAAATGGTGTGGGTTACTTTGTGGAGCTGGCATACAAAGTGAGGACAGCAGGATGAGAAAGTTAATATTGATGATGACTCTTCACCAAGAACCCTGATGAATCACAGATGAATTAATACACAATCCAACTTGATCTCTTCACGTGCTTAGTTTCATTTCTGACACGACGTTGTCTTCTTCCTCCTTTATCCCCCTTCTTCTCTGAGAATGAGCCTTAAACTTGCTAAAACTCCTTCTTGTTGGAATTAGTGCAACAAAAGTCAGCCATTGAGAAATAGCATAAAGCATAACTTGCTTCCTATCACAA